CGCGAGCTCCTCGAGCGCGAGCGGCGCGGGAAGCTCACGCACGACAACTGCGCCATCAGTTGACCTATTTTTCGATTCGATCGACTACCTGCAACCACAACGCTGCCGTCGTTGTCCCTGCTTCCTCCGCCTAGTTAGTATTCGGAGCGCCCTAATCTAAAGAAATGCCATAGAGTTGTTGCGACTTGGTTGTCCGTCGGGCACACGGCCGCCGGTCAGGTGCTCTTTGCACAGGCCGCCAACACCGAAGCGTCTCTCCTTCGCGCTGCGCACTCTCGGCTTGCTCGTTAACGGTGCGCTGCGCGAAGGAGAGTCGCTTCACAGTCGATGGGCTGTGCATAGAGCACCTGACCGGCGGCCATGAGCTCTTGGCTCATACGATCGGACGTCGCAGCGCATGCGTTTGCCGCCAAACGAGCGGCCGTGAACATCAGACCAGGTCATCGCCCCAGATGGATTTCCGAGTCGCCTCAGTGGCGATGCTAGAACCCAGCACCTCTGCGAATGTGCTTTTGCATCGACGAGATGCTTGCCACCCGGGCCGGTGTGGCCGGCTTGTGCCATGTTCGGCGTAGCAGCACAGTACCATTGTATCAACTAATACTAGCGGCATGGCTATCATATTGACACTTACTGGTACACACACTACACATACATGTATCACACGTTTGTCCTACAACCCACAAGCACGGGCGGCGCAGGATACGCGACCGACGCGGCTGTTGTCGCACTTCTTGACCACCGAGAGCATGTCGGCTGCGCGTAGCCCGTCTTGCCATGCAGAACAACTGGGCACTCGGCGTTGTCGGAAGAGCGCCTTGATCCACGTCACGGGCTTCGTCGACGGCGCCTGGTACACGGCACCAAAGCTGCAGCCGAGCGAGATCGCGGCCACGAGCTTCGTCCTGTTGGTGAAGGGCACGAGCGCCTCCCCGAGCAGCTGCTTGTAGCGGAGAAGGACCGGGCCGACGTCTGGGCAGTCATTGACGGTGGTCGTGTTGGCGCCGAGGTTGGCCCCGAGCGTCCACTGCCGTTGGCGGCCGGAATGAGGCGGTAGAGGTCGTTGATGGCGGCCTGCTTGGTCGTCATGAGGCAGGCAGCCGCAGCTTGGAGGTACAAAATGGGCTCGTTGGTCAAGCCAGGCGTTGCGGTTGGGTCGCAGCAACATCGCTGTGGTGACGGTCGGTTCTGTGGCGGTCAAGGTGGCGTTCTCTGTGTCGTACCCCTACCCTCGCCGAGAGGTTCAACGTTCGTCGCGTGAGTCAAGTCCAACGTGCAAGGTTGGCAGTCAAAGATGCATCGAATATCGGTTCCGAGTTCTCTTGGCTGAGAAAGAACGGATCGCCGCTCAATATATCACATTGTGTTTAGTCCAATAGCGAGGTTATGGCTACTTGCCTCTCATGTGGCCAGCTACTGTACTTCAAGGTCGTTCATCGTCCTCAGTCTAAAGCACCTGGCGACCGGCCGCGAGGACGACACCGTGCTTCTCGATAGCAAGGCGGTAAGGCCACGGCAGCGGCGAGCACTGCTTAGACGCGCCATTGTAGAAGATGGGAGGATGGTGAGCGCAGGAACTGCTCCGGATGTCGATGACGCATCATCAAACAAAAAGATCCTCACCTGAAGCGCGAGGGATGCCGAACTTGAGACCCCGCATTTATCGGACGCTCACACTTGAACCTACTCAACATCCAATGGCGTGTGGCGCACAAACTCGCGCGCAGCAAGTTCCTCACCACGTCGGAAGCTTTTTGCTGGCCGCAGCTGGACTATTCACGGTGCCCTGTTCTGCCTGTGCACGGACAACATGCACGTTTGGCTGGGCGTACCATGCAATGCCATGAACGATGTCCTGAGCTTCGCCCCGGGTTACGTACAGCTAAGTTACTTGCGACGGCGCTCGTGCCGTTTACCAACAAGACGCCGGGCCCTACGCTCGTGGCCGCGAACTCGCTCGGCTGCAGCTTTGGTGCCGTGTACCAGGCGCCGTCGACGAAGCCTGTGACGTGGTTCGACAGCCATTCGTTTGCGACTCCCCAAGGCCCTCATCCGAGCGGCGCCGAGTGCCCGAACGGCGCGTGGCTTGTCAAGCCCTATCCATCCCAACAGGTTGAAGTTGCGACGCGCCCAACCAAATGTGCATTAGTATAACCAGTCAAGCGTCGTAGGGCGACGACAAAAGAGCCAGACGAGTGAATGAAGAAGGAGATTACTAGATTACTAGTCTCCACGTACCGGTATGCAAAGCCTTTGTGTAACAGCGAAGATAACGCGAAACACGTTCATACATATAACGAATCAAAATTCTTTGATGCCACGTATTGCAACTACTCTTGAGTGAAAGAAAATAGGGGCCGTGGGTTTCCATAGCACAGCAATCATCAGCGGGCTTGCAGCTTCTCGCATTTCACGCATGAGCAAGGCGCGTTGCAGCAGTTTCGGAGATTTCAAAAGCGCAAGACCAACTACATGTGACAGTTTGTCACGTCACCCGATGACGCGACGAGAAAGCAGACGCATCGCGTCGTGCGATCGATCGACCGAGCCTGCGTCGATGCGCTGATGTCGCCTTGGATACAGCGCTTGCAGTGAGTACGTCTTGCCCTTCGATGCCGACAGCTATTGCTGTCACCACACTTCATCGGCTCGGGGCCACTTTCGTCGCAGTCCGAAGGTAGCTTCTCAAAGCTGCTGTACGACCAGCTTCAACTATTCAAGTGAAATGATATTCGCGATGATATATTTCGTGGTATGCGTACATTGGGTTGCTCTACAATCGTCACTGCTGAATCAAACCATGTCAGTGCTGTGAATGGAAGTGGGCTTTGCGTTTGCGATGGAGGATTTGAAGCGGAAATTCTTGGAGCACGATAGCAGTAGAGATGTCCGCATAACAAATGAGGGTGGCCGTGTTCTCTGCCTCGTAACCCTACCCCACCGATAGTTTCATGTTGCGCCGTGTGTCCAGCCAAACGCGCATGCTGTCAATGGTGGAATTGGGAGCTCCCTTGGCTGAGAGAGAACGGGCCGCAGCTCCGTATATCGCACAGCGTGCAGATAGCTGTGCCGTCACCGATTCCGGCCATCTACATGCGCCAAGCCCGACATGAATGTGTGGGAGCTGCAGCAATCGTCAAGGAGCGTTTTGAATCGCATTTCAATTGGAAGAAGGTGCCTGGGACGCCGAGCGTACACACCCCTGCTATATCATCTCCCGACGAAGCAAAAGATCGCCGCTCGGCACGTGCCCAACGACAGGGCACCGAGGAGCAATCGAATCCTCCGACAATGGGAAGCGTTCGTTGGAGCTACTTTTGCGAAACTCTTTCTTCTATGAGTGTTTAGGGTGCATTGAGGGAATACGCAGCAAAGAATAACTACGTGATAGGGTATTTCTCTTAAAACGGCATAATGGAACCTGTTCTGAGAGCTTGCAAATCGCAATTCGACGCCACATATATGTCCCCGAAATGCACAAGGCGCCTGCTCACCCGCATGGCCACCGCCCACTGCTGCCTGCGCGACTTGCGACGCCATCGACAAGCCCAACGCGACGACACGCTCGCCAGCAAGCACGGTGCAGTCGAGTGCCAGGCCATTGCGCGCAGGACACCCGCGCCCAAGAGTCAAAGAAGGCGCCACGAAGCGCTGGCAGCGGTCTTTACGGTCTTTACCACGATCGTGGCGCCATTGCGCAGGAATGATGCCAGTCCGAGGTCACTCACCACGCGCGCATGGTCAAGTTCACAATGCAAGCGGTCCTTTGAACTCCGCAATATGAGTGAAAGTGAGGACACGACGTTTCGTAGGCTATGGCTTTTGTCTGTTGTCGATGTGCTTGGTCGGAGTCTCGGATGTATGCCTCACACAAGTTCGTTTGAAATGCACCCAACGCGAGCACTCCTCCATCGGGTGGAGTACAGAGCCTGCGTACAACCTCGTGCGAGCTATCGCTATGTGAGTGGATGTCTCGGCTCACCCCCAGCGACCACCTTCTTGTACTTCTAGCCATAGGGTCGCGGCTTCTTGTATCGCACGCGTGAGCAAGGTGAAAAGGCACGACGTTTCGTAGGCTGAGGTTCGAGTACAGGAGTCTGTATCGCGCGAGCTATCGCTTTGCGAGTGGGTTCTACCACGAGATGGATCGCTGAGCTCATTTCCAACGACTACGTGCTGGTCCAATTGTGCTAGTATGCATATAGACGTAGCAAAGTCCTTAACCCTTCAACGCCTGAAGTTAGTTTATGCAAATATGACTTTACGAGAAAAAACGTTTGATTGATTGAATGTTATATGGGGACTACATCTCGAGCCGGTGGGCCGAGCTGGCGATGTAGTTAAAGGGTTGGCGCCCTACAATAGGATATGAAAACGTGCAGAATACAAGAGAAAAATGTATATGCATACCGGGACAGGTGCCCACTGGCACAAGGGTGCGTGGGCCAAGAAGTTGATGCACGCGGTGCCAGCTCTCGGGAGGATCGCCACCTTGGAGGCTGTGAGAGCGGCCTGGATGATCGGCGGGAGCTCTTGGACGAAGCCGAGCTCCGCTGCCTTGAGCAACACTGCCTGGAGCAGAGGCGCGTCCACGATGAGACCGCGCGCCGTCGTGTCGGCGGCAGCATCTGTCGCGCGCGAGACAGGCGCGGCGGTGGTCGGATCCGAGACAGGCGCGGTGGCGGTTGCGTCGGCGACAGGCAGCTCGAAGATGGCCAGAGCGACATTCGAAACGATGATACCGAGGCGCAAACCGTCGACGTCCTCCATGCCCGCGAAACACACCTTGGGTGTCAAGAACGCCTCGCTCGTAGAGCAAATCGAAGCGAAGCGGACCTGCGCGCCGCCGGTTGCATAGACGACGTACGAGGTCTGCGCCTTGCAGAAGCGCGCTGCCCCCGTGCTTGGAGATGCCTGGCCAGTCGCTGGCGGCAATGGCCTCGGCGAGCTTCTTACGCGTCCGTGTTCATGCGCGGTCGAGATTTGCGAGGCCTGCCTTGGCCATCGTCGCCGTCATGGCGTCCAGATCGGCCTGAGCCAGGACCGTCGTGAGCTACGGCGGTACGTGCTGCCATGGTCATGCGCGCGTCGTGCTTGGTCTTGAGGCGCTCTGCGCCGTCGTCCTGCGCCGCCATGCTGCTGCAAGAGAGCGGCCATCGCGGCGCCTGCGGACTGCTGCTGATACTGAGTATGTTGTGGGGTCCACGCGAGCAAAGCAATTTTGACGTCGATGAAGTCGAAGTATAAGTGTTTGAATTTAAAACTCGCATGTCCATCAAACTAATAATATACCAAGGACTCAGATCTTAGTATACGCAGCGTTCATTGTATTGTGGTGCAAAGTCGCCGTTGAATTGTGCTGGACTTTAATAAATCCTCGACAGCTCCCTCGACCTGAAGATGTTAGGCGTTTTGTATGCAGTCAACTCGGCCAATGACGTGGCGCATTTCGAAGGGAATTGGAATGATGGTCTTACACAAGCCAGCGACTCGTTCCTTCTTGGCCCCGAGTGCTCGAAATGCACTACTAGTAGTACTAGTACATGCGTACATGTAGCATATATCGAAGGACTTTGATGCGAGCGTCGAGCGACTAAAACGTCTCCTTCAACTAGCCGGTATCTCTCGTTCCGACGTACAAAAGCGAGGTCAACGACGAGTCCATAGTCGAGGTACATGGTGTCGTACACAGACGGCCAAGCGCAGAGACCAAAGGGATTCACTTCGTTGCTATTTGGGGATTAAGTGCTCTCCTACTGGTGCGTGTGTATTCCTTCATATCTCGGCTCATTTTTTGTGAGCCGCTCGTCTGATTCGTGCGTCTGCAAACTCTAGTGCTGGGCTACGTGCTCATCAAAAAGTGGACATGTCATTCGCGTCGAAAAGGCGAGAAGCGACGAGGTCGACGGTCCTTGGTGGGGACACAATGGTCGCTTCTACACTGCCTACGGCCACCACTGGCCACTGGACGACGCTCCATCCGCTGCCAATGTCGGGTTCTTCACCGCCATGCAGAGCAAGCTTGATGCGTATTTGGACTCGAAGTGCTGCCACACGGACATACAAAACCCCGCCTGCTGGGGCTGCCCAAGTTGCGTGTGCGAATCCATGGGTGCATTGCCAGGTCACTGATTGGTCAGCTGTTCCAATCACAGCGCGTTCCATTGGCCAGCTTTTGCCGGTACAGTGTACGAGTTTCGCACATGAGCCGCAAGGACATGCCTGCTGACTGCAGCCCACTGACGCTTAGCCCATGCTTTCTCAGATGGCACTGTATGAGTGCCGCCGCTGTCCAAGACCAGCGGGCGATCTCAGCTGCATCCTTTGACCAAGAGCAAGGCCGAGACTCTGACGTCATTGAAGAAGCACACGATGCTCGCACCTCGTGACGAGTTCCAGGCCGACGCGGTAGCCGCGAGGGTCATTGACCTCGACAACAAGCTGTGCGTACATATGATCGAGGTCGACATCGCCTCACCTCGACACGACGACGCGCTCAAATGCAGCGAGTACATGTACCTCGTCTCGAGTCCTCAAGGTGGCGACGGCGACACGGCCCGCAACCCGTCACCCCACCTCAAGAGCTTTCGCCTGGAGAAGTTTGCCGTCGAGGCAAGGCACCCCAGACTTGACTCGCTTGTCGCCGACTACTGGTACATGCGCCAGCTTGACGCTGCCGTACGCTGCGACAAGCTCTCCCCCTGTACAACCTGGACCGACGAGCCAAGTACAATGCGGTCAAGATGCGTCTCGGTCATGAGCCCATCGATTGGGTGCACACGAACGAAACCGCGTGGATGGCCGCTACCCCGACCTACGGCTACAGCGACCTCCTCCTCCACAGCACGTAGCGCTACGCGCCGAAGCTCGAGGACGACCAAGTTTTGGCCCGCATGCGCGTGGCCAAGCGCTGCGGCCAAACGTGAGTCGAGTACGCGCATTCCATGCACTACCTTCCGCATATCGCACGCATCCCGAGCAGTCCTCGTCATTTCTTGCAGCTATGCGTGTCCCGAGCATACGGCATTGCTCGTCGCTCGCCTTGATAAATGCCGACGCAGCGGTCCCGCCATGTTGGACGAGCTCATGCAGCGCTTGTCACTGCTACTGGGTCGAGTTGCTCTTACAGCCCTCGATATCGAAGCGGCAGCCGCAAGCCAACATCGGGTTTCAGCGTCGCGCCAGCAGCCAGTGCAGCAACGAACACCGCCAGGACGACGCGCCCGGGCCAATACGCGCGTGCCCAACGACCGCTTGGCCGTCAAGTGCCACGCCAGAACGACCAACACAAGGACGCCGGACTCGGGACCGACGCGCCCAACGACATTGCGAATCCACGCAACTGCGCAAGCACGACGTAGGCAAGGACGCGTGCCAGGCCGAGCCCCTGGCTCTGAGGCGACAAGAACCCGGACCACGCATGTCGACATGACAGGTGCGAGAACGACCAGCGTCGCAACGACGATGAAAAAGAAGGCCGAGATGCGAGCCACCAAGATGACGAGACCTAGAGCAAGAGCCACAGTCTCGGCACGACGACAAGCGGCGAGAAGCCAGTCGGACAGGCCGCGTAACAAACAATTGCACTTTCATATTTGCATTCTTACATCTCCGACCGTGTCGCGCCACAGCAGTCTTTACAAACCTCCAAGCCGAGATCGCCTGCCGCGATGGCCAAGCAGGTCGCCGTAAGCGTTCTCTGCAGCCTCGTTCCAGGCTCGTGAACGCTCGTGACCAATCTCTGAGCCCATTTCCAACGACCACGTGCTATGCATTCGGGCGTAGCAAAGTCTCCAAGTTAGTATTGCTAATATGATTTTACGCGAAATACGTTTTGATTGATTGAATGTTATTGGGACTACAAAGCGAGCCGGGCGGGCCGAGCTGGCGATGTAGTTAAAGGGTTGGCGCCCTAAAATACAAAATGAAAATGTGTAAAAGACAAGAGGAGAATGAATAGTGGGGTTCAAATTGTATGTAGGTTCTTGTAGGAGTATATGTAGGAAAAATAACGCCACGTGATTGGCCAAAATGGCCGTGAATTTCGAGGTTTCCTACAAGTCGTCAGAGGCTTTGTATCTTCGAACTACGACGATTTCTACATATAAGAGCCAGTTCTTTCATATACCTCCGAGGCTATATGAAAGAACTGGCTCTTATATGTAGGAAAAAAGAGTTGGCTTGTAGGAACAAAAGGCAACATCTGGAGCAAAAAGAGGATCTTTCATTCGTCGTCTGCACGTTAGATATGCCTGGGAGCCGAAGGACGAGATCGACCTCTTCGATCGGATAACCCGCATCTAGAACCTCCTTGCGTGCCGAGGCGAGCTGCTTCGCTATCTCAATGTTCTTGAGGCGTAGGTCGGCCTCGAGAAGCGATGTTTCCATCGCCATCTTCGACTTCTCCAAATCGAATCGACTCTCGTCTAGCTCGACTCGACGCATGTCGACCTCTGCGCGGCGTTGCTCGCCAGCCGCTGGGTTTCCAACCAAGCTGCTCAAAGACGCAAACGCACCCTTCGAGCTGTTCTGCTTCTTGTTGGACATCGTGGGAGTGAATGGTGCCGTTTCCCGGTCGAGTCGTTGCCTTGGGTGTTCTCTGCAAGAAGAGCCG